GGTAGCTGGGACTACAGTCACGTGCTACAATGGCCAGCTAATTTTTTTGTATTTTCTTTTGTAGTTACGGGGTCTCACTATGTTGCCCAGGCTGTTCTTGAGCTCCTGGACCTAAGTAGTCCTCCCACCTCGGCCTCCCAAAGTACTAGGATTAGAGGCATGAGCCACTGCACCTGGCCAGAAGTCCAGGATTTTAAATTGGGGATAATGCTGCCACATAGGTGTGATGTGATGCTTAACGTTTCTGAGATTGAGTATAAAAACAAAGGAGTTGAAATGGTGGGTCTTTAAAATTCTTTCCAGTATGAAACATTCTGATTCTTATTTATCTTATTACTACTGAAATATTGTGGAGTTTTCAAATTCACTGGCTCCTGGTTTATTGTTGAGAAAAACATTGAAATACAACTAAGATCTTCCATGAATCATCTTTCTTGAATTTTCTAAGAAAGAAGAAATTATTTAAAATATTTATATTTTTACTCTCTATCAAGTATTCTCGTTTTTTTTTTTTTCTTTTCTTTTCTTTTCTTTTTTTTTTTTTTTTTTTTTTGAGATGGAGTCTTGCTCTGTCCCCCCAGGCTGGAGTGCAGTAGCATGATCTCAGCTCACTGCAACCTCTGCCTCCCAGATTCAAGTGATTCTCCTGCCTCAGCCTCCCGAGTAGCTGGGACTACAGGCATGCACCACCATTGTTCTTTCTTTTATTAAGTTAGACTGTGAAAAATAATTTACTTGACTACCATTGTTAGAAGGTTTCCATTTCTTAGAATAAAGAAGTGTTTGTGAAGAAAGTTATTTCAGTTGCACATCTCTGATGAAATCTTCTACTCCAAGCTAGTTGAATTGTTTATTTGGCCCAAGGGCCTAAAACCTGAAATACTACATTCTTGGCACAGTTCTAAGTTCTCACTATAAATGTAATACCTGAGGTCGCAGGAGGTTAAGGAAGAGGGAAAAACTGATTTTATGCCTGTTATTTCATCTTACCCTCTTAGAAGAAAAAATATTCTTGTTTATGTTTTGGGGAAATAATTAATTTGAATGATCATTTTAGTTCTAAGATTGAAATGGGAAAGAGAACATGATTTCATCAGATTTTTATGGAATATCTGCTACTTAAATAAGCCATAGGGTCCAGCATTTCCACTCATAGGTATATACTCAAGGAAAATGAAACATATGAAATTCCCAGAACAAGGAAATCTATAGAAATGGAAAGTATGTTAGTAAATTGCTTAGGAATGGAGGGAATGGGGCGGGGTGAGGGTGGGATGATAGCTAAAGGGTATGGTTTTGTGTGTGTATATTTGCTGATGAAAATGTTCTAAAAATAACTGGTTGGTGATGGTTGTACATGTCTGTGAATATACTAAAAACCACTGAATTGTACACTTTAAATGGGTGGAGTGTATGATAGATGAATTTTATCTCAATAAGGCTGTTTTTATTTTTAAAAATATCAGGGGTTACAATGATTAATCCAAATGTGGACTTAGACAATTATCCTTTGCAAGAAGCACTTGCCTTCCAGTTTTAGAGTCCTAATGTGTGTATAGAAAACTGAAGCAAAGGGAGAAATAGTAGGTTTTATAGAAGTGATATTTAGCTGGACTGTGAGAATAGTCGCGATTTGGACCTTATAAGCAGAGGAAACAACTTAGGCAAAGACCAAGTGAGAAATGAATTACAAAGTATATATAAAAATGTAACTGAGTGGAATTCATTTTTTCTTGATTATAGAGTTTAAGAATTTAGTTTAGACTAGTGGTTTGAAGCCAACTTTGAATGTTCATTAGGTAAAGTTTTTTTTTTTTAGTTATTCTTTATCTCATAAGAAGTAGTGAGATTCTGAAGGATTTTGAGCAGAGTTGTGATATTACCTGAACTATACTTTAGAATGATGATTATGGTAATAGTGTTTTTTGAATTCCAAAAAAGATAGACTAGAGGCTGAAAGAAGAAAAGGAGAGAGCATATGAATGCCAGAGAAATGGAAAAACAGGTCAAAAGAAATATTTGAAGCAGAAATTTGGGATTAATTGAATGTAAGGGACCAGGAAAGAGAACAAAGTTAATGGGAGGTGTATGTAAGCCATTCAGGGCACAAGCCAAATAGATGTTTGAAAATATGGAACTGGGGCTTGGAATAGTAGTCAGTACTGTCTAGTGACACAGTATTACTTAAAACCATTAAATGGGCAGAAATTAAGATAGGAGTTTGCAATCACACAGAGGACTTGGGAAATCCTTAGGGAAACACTTTCTTTTTTTTTTTTTTTTTTTTGAGACGGAGTTTGGTTCTTGTTACCCAGAGTGCAATGGTGCGATCTCAGCTCACTGCAACCTCCGCCTCCTGGGTTCAGGCAATTCTCCTGCCTCAGCCTCCTGAGTAGCTGGGATTACAGGCACGCGCCACCATGCCCAGCTAATTTTTTGTATCTTTAGTAGAGACAGGGTTTCACCACGTTGACCAGGATGGTCTCGATCTCTTGACCTCGTGATCCACCCGCCACACTTTCATTTAGGCATCAGAGATCAGAGGAAATATAACCAGAATAATTTGGAAAAACAGAAGACAGTTTCATGCAATCCAAGAGACATTTATGAAGAAGGAAATGGGGGTGATAATATGGAAGAAAATTGAAAATATCCTTTGGGTTTAATGGATGAACTTCAGAAATACTATCTTCAGCCTCAATAGCAATGCACTATTATAGCAGAAAAGCAAACAAACAAACAAAAAAAGATAAAACTGAGAAGGCTTCATTCCTAGACATCTTAGGGAGATAATTTTAGAACATATACAGAGCTTGGCAACCAAAGATGAAGAGAGTACGCATTTTAAGAAAATTATGTAAAAGTGGGCCAGGCGCAGTGGCTCACATCTGTAATCCCAGTACATTGGGAGGCTGAGGCGGGTGGATCATCTGAAGTCAGGAGTTCAAGACTAGACTGGCCAACATGGCAAAACCCCATCTCTACTAAAAATATAAAATTAGCCAGGCGTGGTGGTGCACACCTGTAATCCCAGCTACTTGGGAGACTGAGGTAGGAAAATCACTTGAACCCAGGAGGCAGAGGTTGCAGTGAGCCAAGATTGAATCACTGCACTCCAGCCCGAGTCTCAAAAAAGAAAAAAAAGGAAAAAAGAGAGAAAAAATTAATTATGTAAAAGTGAATAACTATTTAGAGAGAAGATAATTAGCCCAGCATGGTGGCACATGCCTGTAGTCCCAGCTACTCAGGAGGCTGAGGCATGAGAATCATTCAAACCTGGGAGGTGGAGGTTTCAGTGAGCCGAAACCCTGCCACTGCACTCCAGCCTGGGCGACAGAGCCAGTCTGTGTCTTAAAAAAAAAAGAGAAAGAAAACTGTTTTCTAGGAATGAATGTTCCCTGATTTGAAGTTAGTCAGGACATGATGATATTAATAGATGCCTTATTTGAAACTGCTTCCTTAGAAATTTAACAACTAGTGTTCATATAATGTCACAAGGAATATTTTTTAGTTTGTGGGAGCTATAGTCAGACTACATTAGCAGGGTAGGCATGCAGACATTGCAGTTATTGATTAGTTAGTGGTTTGGTAAAATGTGATTCTGATTGCAGGCAAGTTTTAGCTACCAATTAATCTAAAGCATCACACAGCCACAGACAGCATTGGAAGGAATACCAAAAATAATGAAAATGTTCAGTTTATAAGTATAGACATGAGACAAGAGTGGGATATTCTCAGCAAGAAAATAGTAAAAATTAAAGTCCATACTTTTTTTTAAGTTTTTTCCTGTAAGGCCTTCAACTACAACGCTAGTCAAGCATCTAAAACTTATTCCAACATATGTAGGTTTTAAATTGTTGCGTCTTTGACTCAGTAATTCTACTTCTAGAAATCCATTCTCAAGAAAGCTCCCAAAATGTAGATAAGTAATAGTTGCCAATATCTTCCAGATATAATACTTTTCAATAGTTCAACAAAAGGTTGAATACAGCCTTGGTTTTCGATTGTGGAGCAATGGTTGTGAATGAATTGCAGCTCTTCAATAAGACAGACATTAAACAGTCATTAAAATGACCTTTCGGAACAGTATTTGGTGACATGGCCAAATACTCATAGAGTTAGATAAAAGGGGTGAACTAAGGAATTACATGTATAATGTGATCTCAGCTGCATTTTAAAAGTGCGTGAAGAAATAAATACATGCATGGGGAAAAGTATGCCAAATTGTTAATGGAATTTTGCCTGGATAGGATTATGGATTTTGCTCTTTTTTTTTTTTTTTTTGAGACAGAGTCTCGCTCTGTCGCTCAGGCTGAAGTGAAGTGATGCAGTCTTGGCTCACTGCAGCCTCCACCTCCAGGGTTCAAGCAATTCTCCTGCCTCAGCCTCCTGAGTGGGATTATAGATGCATGCCACAACGCCCAGCTAATTCTCGTATTTTTGGTAGAGATGGGGGTTCACCATGTTGATCAGGCTGGTCTGGAACTCCTGACTTCATGATCTGCCCGCCTTGGCCTCCCAAAATGCTGGGATTACAGGCGTCAGTCACTGCACCCAGCCTGGCATGTACTTCTTTAATAGATAATTAAAAATAATCATCACCTCAAAAGTGTGGAAGATTGGTTATAGGAAAGCCTAGAAAAGGAAAGGTAGAGTAATCAATGCTACTGACAGAGAATCAGTAGCATTACCACGTGCTGTCTGATTAGTCCTGTCTACTGGTAGCCTCTATTAAGTTACCCTGGACACAAACAAACAGTAGAAGCCTCAGTATAGATTCTGAAATCTATTGACACATTTGTTTCCCAGATAGAGTAGCTTGTGTCTTTGTTATGAGCATCTTACCTTTTAAATTTGCCATCTACAAACAGATGAAGATAAAATTTTAACTTTGTAATATTACATTAGTAAATATGTACCACGAGTAAATAACTACCACATGAGCAATTATTGCTTCTTTAATTTTGCCAGTAATTATGTATTTTGTTATTTTTCCATAGGTTGCATCATAAATACAAAGGACTGAAGTTATAAAAGAGAAAAAAGAAGATTGCTGCTAAAATGAATCTGAGCAATATGGTATATTTTGTGCCACACACAAAAAGGTATTGTCCATAGATCTACAACTTAGCTTTCTTTTAAATAGATGGAAAAAAAATTGTTTTCTGAATGAATTTTTATCTTTGAAAGAAAAATAAAAGGGAAAGTAAAAATATTAATAAAATTGGAATAAAATATTCTTTTATAAAAATGTTTGTTTCAATTTATTTCCTAAATTTTTTTTTCTTCTCAGTTATGGTTTCTGTTATGAATAATTATTTGGTTGAAAGAAATTAGCTTAGTTAAATTTTTTTGATTCCTATTGTCAAATTATTTTCTGGAAATATATATATATTGCCATTTTTTGTTGTAGTACTTTATAGTTAGATTTCAAATTACCTAAAAGGTTTTGTATCGCTTTTCTTCTAATTACAGAAGTAACAGACTTTGCAAAACAAAATTTTAGAAAATACATGGAAACAAAAATAAGGAAATAAAAAAATTACCCAAAGTTTCAACACCTAACTTCAGATAAAACACAAGCTACAAAGAAACCAAAACTCATAGGTCAAAGAAGTCATGTTTCCCGTATGCACCGTCATATTCCTTCTGTGCTTTCCCTAATTGTACCTCACCTCTTTTGCTAAACAAAACAAACAAGAAACTGCCTTATATGAATTCCCAAAAGTGTATTATTACTAGGTTTAAAGAGTATACTTATCCTATTCTTCCAGCAGTGTATGAAACTATTTCCTTATACTCTTGTGAGAAAAAAAGTATCTTTTTTCTCTTATTTTGCCTATTTGGTGGGTGAAGTGAGATGTCATATTATTTCTATTTTTGTTTCTTTGATCATTAGTGAAGTTACAAGATTCATATTTTAAATGGACACTGCTGTTTCTTTTTTTAATTTCCTGCCTGTCTCTTTTGAGTTTTAGGTAAGTGTGTGTGTGTGTGTTGTGTGTGTGTTGTGTGTTTGTGTGTGTGTGTGTTCATCTTTCTGATACTAAGATTAGCTTTTAACTGACAAACATTTTACACAAATTTTCTCTACTTCATTTGATTTCTTTTTCTTTCTTTTTTCTTTTATTTGTTTATTTTTGCCCCCCTCTCCGCTTTTTTTTTGAGATGGAGTCTCATTCTGTCACCCAGGTAAGAGTGATGTGGTGCAATGTCGGCTCACTGCAACCTCTGCCTTCCAGGTTCAAGCAGTTCTCTCACTTCAGTCTCCCAAATAGCTGGGATTACAGGCATGCACCATGACGCCCAGCTAATTTTTTTTTTTTTTTTTTGAGACAGAGTCTCACTGTGTCACCAGGTGCCAGGCTGGAGTGCCGTGGCGTGATCTCGGCTCACTGCAGCCTCTGCCTCCTGGGTTCAAGCAGTTATCCTGCCTCAGCTTCCCGAGTAGCTGGGACTATAAGCATACACTACCACACCCAGCTAATTTTTTGTATTTTAGTAAAGACAGGGTTTCACCATATTGGCCAGGATGGTCTCAATGTCTTGACCTCATGATCTGCCTGCCTTGGCCTCCCAAAGTGCTGGGATTACAGGCATGAGCTACCACGCCCGGCCTGATTTCAATTTGGTACATTGCATGTTTCTAAAACTACCTTATTGATGTATAACATAATACAATAATCTGAACTTATTTAAAGAGCATAATTTCTTTTAACAGGTATGTATCTGTGAAACCATCATCATAGTGGAAAGAAACATATCCACTATCACTCCCAAAAAGATTCATCATGCCCTTTTTTAGCCCCTCCAACTACTCCTTTTTACCTGCCTTTCCCACCCCCATCCCCCAGGTAACCACTGATGTGATTTCTATCTCTTTAAATTAGTTTGCATTTTCCAGAATTCTATATAAATGAAATCATAAAGTATATACTATTTTTTATCTGACTTCTTTTACACAGCATAAATTATTTTCGGATTCATTCCTGTTATAGTGTATATTTATAGTTCCTTTTATTGCCAAGTTACAGTTCATTGTATTTATCACAGACTGCTTATGCATTCATTTGCTGATGTACATTTGGGTTGTTTCCAGTTTTGGCTATTAAAGCTGCTGGAACATTTGTATACAGGGCTTTGTGCTGATATATGCTTTCATTTGTCTTGGGTAAATACTTAAGAGTATAATGGCTACATCATATGATAGGTATATGTTTAGATTTTTAAGAAACTGCCCAATAATAAAGTTTGAGATTATTTTATGCTAGCTCTCCAACTTTGTCCTGTTTTCAAAGTTGCTTTGCTTATTCTGGTTCCTTTGAATTCTCATGAATTTTAGAATAAGCTTCTCAACTTCTATGTCTAAAGAAAAATGTTGAGTCTTACAATTTATAAACAGTATATCCCTTCATTATGTCTTTATATCATTCTTATTTTGTCATTTTCAGTGTACAGGTCTTATATATCCTTTGTTAGATGTATCCCTAAGTATTTCACCTTTTTTCCTTTTTTTTTGAGATGTGCCTCTGTCACCCAGGCTGGAGTGCCGCAGCACAATCTCAGCTCACTGCAATCTCCACCTCCTGGTTTCAAGCAATTCTCCTATCTCAGCCTCCCAAGTAGCTGGGATTTCAGGCATGTGACACCACGCCTGGCTAATTTTTGTATTTTTAGTAGAGACGGGTTTTCACCGTGTTGACCAGGCTGGTCTTGAACTCCTGACCTCAAGTGAACCACCCACCTTAGTCTCCCAAAGTGCGGGGATTATAGGTGTGAGCCACTGCGCCTGGCCCTATTTCACATTTTTTACACTACTATGATATTTTTTAAATTTGATTTTCATTTATTCACATATAGAAACATAATCATTTTAGGCCAGGTGCAGTGGCTCACACCTGTAAACCCAGCACTTTGGGAGGCCAAGGTGGGTGGGTCACTTGAAGCAAGGAGTTTAACACCAGCCTGGCCAAGGTGGCAAAACCCCATCTCTACTGAAAATGCAAAAATTAGCCAGACATGCTGGTGCATGCCTGTAATCCCATCTACTCAGGTGGCTGAGGCACAAGAATTGCTAGAACCCAGGAGGCAGATGTTGCAGTGAGCCAAAGTCATGCCACTGCACTCCAGCCCAGGTGACAGAGGACAGAATGAGACTCTGTCTCAAAAATATATATATATAGATATATATAATTTTATGTATTGATATTCTGTGCTTTTTAATAAACGAATACATTCTAATCACTTTTTTTAACAGATGATTATGTTGTTTCACAATAGTCTTACTTCTTCCTTTTCAGTCTTGATGCTTTTTTGTTTCTTTGTTTCTTGTTTACTGCACCTGCACAGCATCTGGCACATGTTTTTGTTTGGTTTGGTTTGGTTTGGTTTTGTAAAGAGAGAGGATCGTGCTGTATTGGCCAGGCTGGTCTCAAACTCCTGGTCTCAAGTTATCCTCCTGCGTTGGCCTCCCAAAGCATTAGAATTACAGACATGAGACATCACACCTAGCCCCAGCACAATGTTGAATGAAGGTGTTGAGAGTAAACATACTTGCCTCGTTCCTAATTCTGTATTTAACATGTCTTTTTTCTCTAGATACTTGTATGATTTTCTCTTTATCACGAGTTTTGAGCTATTTATTTATTTATTTTACTGTCATCACAAGTTTTGAGGTATAATTTTCTTCATGTCTCTTGTGCTTGGGGTTCATAGACCTTCTTGTATCTGTGGGTTTATACTTTTCATCAAATTTGTAATTTTTCCACTATTACTTTCTCAAATATTTTTTCTGTTCTAATATCTTTCCTCTCCTTCAGGGACTCCACTTAGACATACAGTAGGCCACTCGAAGATGTTCCTCAGCTCATGGATGCTCTGGGTTGGGGGTTTGGTTTTTGTTTTGTTAGTCTTTTTTCTATTTTATTTTGGATAGTTTCTGTTGCTCTATCTTCAAGTTCAGTAGTCCCTTTTTTGGCAAAGTCTCCTCTGCTTTGCATCACATGCAGAGTATTTTTAATTTCAGACATTGTAGCTTTCACCTCTAAAGGTTTAATTTGAGGGCTAGGTATGGTGGCTCACAGTTCAAATCCCAGCACTTTGGGAGGTCGAGGTGGATGGATCACTTTAGGTCAGGAATTTGTCACCAGCCTGGCCAACATGGTGAAACCCTGTCTCTACTAAACATGCAAAAATTAGCTGCATGTGGTGGCACATGCCTGTAATTCCAGCTACTCGGGAGGCTGAGGCAGGAGAATTGCTTGAACCTGGGAGGCAGAGGTTGCAGTGAGCTGAGATTTCACCACTGCACTCCAGCCTGGGCGAAAGAACGAGATTCCATCTCACTTTATCTCAGAATAAGTACATACATACATACATACATACATAAAATAAAGGTTTAGTTTGAATTTGTTTATATTTTGTCTGTCTCTGCTTTACATGTTCGATATTTTCTCTAAACTTTTCCATATGTGGAATACAACCATACTAAATGTTTAATGTCCTTGATCACTAATTGTAACATAGATCATCTATGTCAATTGTGGTTTGGTTTCAATTATTTTTCTCCTCATTATGAGTCATATTTGCTTGCTTTTCTGCATGCCTGGTAATTTTTTATGTAATGTTAGTTTTTTGTTTGTTTGTTTTGAGATGGAGTCTTGCTCTTTACATTTTTGGATACTGGATATTTTTATATTCCTTTAAGCATTCTTGGACTTTGTTTTGGAATGCAGTTAAGTTACTTGGAAATAATTTCATCCTTTAGATCTTGCTTTTAAAATTTGTTAGAGACAGGCACAATTGGTTACACCTGTAACCCCAGTACTTTGAGAGGCAGAGGCAGGAGGATCATGAGCCCAGGAGGTTGAGGCTAAAATGAGCCATGGTTGTACCCTGGCACTCCAGCCTAGGCAACAGAGCAAGACCCTGTCTCACAGATAAAAAAATAAAATAAAATTTGTTAGGCATCACAGACCAGCATTTAGTCTAGGGTCCCTGCTATGAAGACAAGACTCTGCTGAATAGCTTCCAGAATGCCCTGTGAATTATGAGATTTCCTGTCCTGGCTAGGGGGGACAAGTACTATCTGTAGTCTCTATTCCTT